CTCTACTAATCCTGCCTTCTGACACTGGGAGGCTACCTACTCTCCACAGAGGAAAACAGAGCACTGATTCCTGAACTACTGCACAGCACATTGCAGATTTACCTGGATCGGTCAGAAAGAGCAGGCTCTTATGAAACTGCACTGAAGCTAGTAAGTCCTGCTTGTGAGCTGGCGTGTGGGAAACACAGCTTAGTTTCAAAGCACCCACTGCTGTAGACACATGAAATGTCCAAGAAACAGCTGCCCTACTTGTTTCAGTGGGTGCAGATGCTGCCAACTTGCAGTGCCACTGCACCTGAGCTGCCAAGGCAGCCGTCATGCACGAGCACTCTAACGGAAACCATACCCAAACAACAGCGTTTCCTGAACTATTCTTTCAATTACAAACAATGACACCGCTCCTTTCATTAATAAGATTCAACTGCAAGTTTGCTAAACGTGTGCTGGGACAAAACCCAGAATTCCATCTGACAAATTGCATTTGTTCACTTCTCAAGCAGACTGTTCTATGTCTCCATGACACAATGCTGGTAAAGCTAATAAAAAGGAGACATTTATTAGATGCAACTAACGATAAAAGGCACTCTAGTTCCTAACATTTTTTTTTTCTAAATCATGTTCTCCTCTCTGACTATTACTCTGTGGAGGGCTTGTGGTATAGGAGTAAAGTAAGAAAAGGGAAAGTGTAAGGCGAGATTTATTGCCTGGAGTTTTTAGAGCTGTGACGTGTTATTTCAGATACCCAGGGTTGGACTGACACCTCATTGTGCAGGCAGTCAGTGCACACATCGGAAAAAAAAGGTTGACTTTCTTCCCATAAGGCTACAATCTAAATGAAATGCACTTTTAAAAAAAAAGCAGTGCCTGACTGTATTTTGGTAATACCTAAACAAAGAATTGGTTTGCACATGGTTCTATTCATATTTATTTAGATCACTGTAGTAACCTACAGGAGGAAGAAAATACAAAGGAAAGGAGATAAGTTTTCTATAATTTTAATATTGGGCTATATGATAAAAAGGATCATCTTAATTTGATTGCAATATTTTTGGTTTGGTATTGAAGGACATTCTGGATGGCAAAGATCTGCAGTCTCCTTGTTGGCAAGCAGCTGGAAAAGCAGCAATGATGCAATTTTTGTGTAGCTGTCAAACAAGGGACCCTCTCACTGTGTTAGCTGGATTCCTTCTTTGTTGTTATTGTTCTGATCCAATTAGTCACTGCTTTCAAGTTAAGGGATCCAACTGGCTGATTGGACTGGAAGAGATACAAGAATAACAGAAACCCAAACTGGTGGTACAAGAGGAAGAATAGAATTTATATTTTTTTATGTGAAGTGCCTCAGTAAGCCAATTGCGTGCTTTAGCTAAGCCTTAATTGCACCTAAACAACAGAAAGTAATCAAAAAGGGTCTGGTTTGATTCATTACATACCAGAAATGTGAGAGATGGAACTGAACTAATCCAGGAATCTGTCACTATGAGTAAGCTCCCCATGGAGCCTCTTTTAGTTGCCTTATACCACAAAACATGGAAGAGACAGGTCTACAAACAACCAAAGCAGCTGATCTCTGCTATTTCCCTTTTATTCAGTACTGGTGAGGCCACATCTGCAGTGCCGGGTCCAGTTGTGGGCTCCCCAGTAAAAGACAGATACGGACACACTGGAGAAAATCCAGCAAAGGGCCACTAAGTTGCTGAAGGGACTGGAGCATCTCTCCTATGAGGAAAGGCTGAGAGAGCTGGGACTGTTCAGCCTGGAGAAGAGAAGGCTCAGGGGGATATATAAATACCTGAAGGGTGGGTGCAAAGAGGACAGAGCCAGGCTCTTTCCAGTGGTGCCCAGTGCCAGGACCAGAAGTCATGGACACAAACTGAAACACAGGAGGTTCCCTCTGAACATCAGGAAACACTCTTTCCGTGAGGGTGACCAAGCACTGGCACAGGTTGCCCAGAGAGGCTGTGGAGTCTCCATCCTTGGAGATACTCAAAAGCTGTCTGGACAAGAAGACAATTCACTGATTCAGGACTTCCCATTCGGATGCTGGCTATGGTGCAAGAAAAGGGATGCTGTGTCATGGTTTGACATAAGGCTCCATACGCTGTGTTCAAAAATCAAATATGCCTTCAGAGACAAAGCTGGGGCATGGAACAACAGGTTCTAAAACGCTGAGATACACAGTACAGAAGTGCCCTTGACAGTACTGCTGATGACAAACCAACAATGGCAAAACCGCTTGTGCCCAACATAAACTAACAGAAAACCCTTGCAAATGTATTCTAATCTGTGCATGCCTCCAGGTCACATCCAATGCCTCGCAGCTGGTACAGTTAAAAAAATGCTGGGTTATGAAACATACTGAATTATGAAACATCACTGCCTACTTTGCTGAGTACTGGTATGCACATACTTCTATGTTAACTAAAATGCAGCTTATCCTTCTCTTCTGTACTGGTTTATGGCTCAGTTTATCAAAGAAAAAACCCTGCTTTTTAAATGTAAAAGAAAAGAACAGTAGAACTGAACATGTTTGTCCAGAGAAGATTCTCCTGCAGGGTATGTCTACACTGCCCAATGCAGCTGAGATCTCTGGGCTGCTGCCAGCACAGGTAGCTCAGACATCAGACCCGGCATAGCCATTTTAAGGTAAAGCATCATGCAAGACATTTACTCTGAATCAAGTAGCTGTACTGCTTCTCCTATCCAATATAGCCTGTTGAACTGGCTTTGATGTCCATACGCTGCACTGCATTGAAACTACAAAATGAAGTATGTGTTTTATTAAACCTCAAAATGAAAGCATGCTTTTTTGTTCCATGAACAATAACATTCTTTGATGTCTGAGTTAAAGAATTGCCTACCAAGTAAATGATCTGAAGCTATCAAATGATTGACCATGAGGATTAAAAGAATGTTTATCGTGTTAGATATTCCAGATGAATTTATGTGTAGTGCTGCTTCTTTATTATCATTTTGATAGTAAACTTGGATTTGATCTCTGCATTAAAAAAATCATATAGGTCTGGGGCTGCAAACTCCTGAACCATGCTTTGTAACATGCTGGTAATTCTCAAATTCTGATGACATTACAGTCTAAGCATATAGATTTTTATACTGATTTCAGAGAGCTGATATACCTCAACACTTTCAAGAATTTTGCCATTACCATCTCTTACCTCTTTTCTCAATAAGAACAATTAGATGAAGGTGGTAAAGAAGTAATGCTACTGCAGACTTTCAGAACAGCTGTGAATAGATGCTTATTTCAATTCATGCTAAGTATTTACTGCAAATGTTATTACTTACTGCAAAAAGAAAAATAGAGACTCTTACAACTCCAGTGTGAAGGGTATGTGTTACATAGCAATAGTTTGCCTTGTCTTCAATTTAGAAATAGATTTCAGTTAAATAGCACTTTTTCACAAACAGAAAACACAGCCTTCTCATTAGCCAGGGAGGGACATTATGACTTGCCACACAGTTCAATTAATTGCTATCTAAAATCTATGTTTTAATTCCTAATAATTTTCATTTCTTCATCTACACCCACAGGCTGTCACAAATATCAACAGAAGGTGGACAACCAAAGCATTCCACCCCCTTCCCATCCCGTTCTCTCCTTCTTCAGCCCACTATGCTCAGACAAGAGTATATCACCATGCTATTCCCCTCCACAGTCAGCTTCTCAGCACCAAGTTTTAACTCTAGGTATTAAGAATACAAAAGCGTAAAACAGCTTTCCATCAGCTCATGACTTCCAGTTGCTGGTTTTCCTTGCTCTAGGATTAGGGTTTGACAGCAACCTAGTAACACCCAGCAACACACAATGCAAAATATTCTTTATGTGAAGAGTGCCTATTTTCTTCCTTCCTTGCTTCCCATTTTTCTTCTTTGTTTTTCACTTGGTTTGCTCATTGCCCCACTGCAGTTCTTTTCTTCCCCATTGATTATCTCTTTTCCTCCTCCACACGTCCTCTACACTCTCTTCCAAACCTCAAAATGTTAAGAGTCCAGAGCTGAGCCTTAAAAGCAAGATATTCAAAGGGATCTGATACCTAGCACCTGGCCATAAATAAAAGGCACATGTTGTCTCAGATGAAAGCAAAGGGAAGAACATTGATTCAGATAAGCTCGCGCTCCTCAAATGTTCACTCTGTTCTTGTGTTTAAGCTACATGAAGAAGGCAATTTTGGGGAAAAGCTAATGTACAAAATAAGAAAGAAAATAAAAGCTCATCATCGGGCTTCTGAGGAATTACATTCCACTGAAACACCTTCTCACAACTTTTACCACCCTGTCTTTCTTCCAAATATCCCTCATTTTTTTAAAATGTCCTTCCATGCATTTCTTAATGTCACAGCCTAAATACCTCACTTCCAATACCTTCCTACATCCACACCGTCTTTTTCATGACAGCCCTCTTCTTTCTCAATATATCTTTAAGGGTTATGATCTAGTTGCTGTCTTGGTGATCAAGCAAGTGCTGGAGGGCATACATACAACTGGTAAGGGGTTCAGAAGCAGCGCATACCACTAATGTTGATAGCACATGCCCACGTGATTCCTCTCAAATAGGGACTGTAGACCTAAGACACTATTATGGTGATAATCAACAAATCTATTCAGAAATAATCTTTCTAATCCCTTTAGTATTTTCACAATTTTCATGAGGAGAAAAGAAAACATTTTGAAACACCAACTAAACTCTGAACAATCTACAGAGGATACTATTCTTATTTTCTGGTAAAAATCACTGAAGTCCATTCTAATGCATTTTTCCATCCCATGAAAAGGTGAGTTATTACATAAGCTTCATTATAAACTGGATGTAAAACCAAAGGGGCACATAGTAACAGCGTGTGTTTATATCATAATACTCACCAAATTCTCATTTGAACATGTGGCTTCTTCAGTGCATCAGCCATCAGCATTTTTTACATTTCTTTATCAGGCTTATTGGAACAAGCTGGTTTTGCCACAGATGATTCCAAGATACTTACCCAGTCGTGTAAGGTATATTTATTCCCCCTAGATTAATGCTTTCACATCCAACAATGAAAAGAGTTGAAAAGCACAGCAGAGACACACCACTGCAGATCATAGCCAACTTTGCAGACTCTCTTGCACCGAGTTTCAGTTTTTTTATAATGTAGCCGCCTAGGACAATACCAACACCAGCACTTGGGACAATAATCACACCTGCCGGGAAGAAATTCAAGCAAGAAATTAAATCAGGACCTATAGAAATCGTATAAAACATAAATATCGGTTTCATTCCCTAATTAGATGACTGCAAATGCTGCACTAAGATCTCCATTGTCTGAATCTCTGCTAGCAAACTGAGTCAGACTTTTCAAACCTCTGGAGTGTTGTCAAAGAATTAATAAAAGCCTCCTTATGATATTACCAGCAGCCAAAGCACTATAAGAGAACTATTGTACTTACAAGCAGAAACATTGCTTTGTATTTATTTTAGAACGAGGAGAAGGGCTACATATTGCTCCAGTTTAACTACTGAAAATTTGAACAAATCCAGATTTGGACACGAATCCTCCTCTTCCTACTTTCATGATTAATTCCAGTGAAGCACAAGTGCTAACTTCAGGCAGGACCCCAGAAGCCTGCCCACTGGGGAGTGCACGCGTGAGCCTTGCTACATATTCTGTGTTCTGGATACTTTATTCAAGCTGAATAGCACTTTCCTACATCAGCACCCCAATTCGTCTCAGCACAGCCACGTGGACTGTAAACTGATCAAATACGATTAAAAAATTAAGATACTACAGTTAGTATTAGGGTAAGTTTAAGACACAAAAGACATGCCTATGAAATTTCTGTTGCTCACTGCTGCAGTTATAAGGTGGCAGTTCAGCAACACACCACTGGGCTGTCCTCACTTGTCGGGGCCTGAGGTGGTGTTAAGTCAGCGAGTGTCTTGCACTTCTTCGCTTCCCTTAGCTTTTGCTTCTCACTGACATGTGAGAAGGTCTTTAAATTAGGGCTTTGATAATAAAGATGCATTCCACATAAATATGGAATTTGCACAACTTTTGGCAGCTGCATCTACAGAGGAGATAAACTTTATAATGCAAATTCTTAAAGATGTTGGTCTTCTTTTTAAAGAAGCCAGTAAGACTATCACTTGCAAATATCTCTAATAACATTGCAAAGCGTTCTCATTCTCTGCTAATTCGTCTAAAGGTGAAGGGGACATTGTATTTATCAAAATATTGAGATCATGAAAGTAAAAGTAAGAGGTAAAAATAGCTGCCACCTTAATTATACTGCCATCACCAATGGCATTATAAAATAAAAAGTCATTTCATGAGAAAGATTCTTAACAATAACCCTTCAAAGAATCAAAACCAGTCTTTCTTATAAGAGCAGAAATTAAATGCATAAGTCCTTCTAGGAGAGTTAGATGATTTTCATAAACTTCAAAGCTGTTATCTCTCTTGAGCTGTTATATCTCTCACTTTCAATGACTGAATATGAATGAGGAAAAGAAATAATGCAAATCCTTTCACTTGGACTGAAAATGTTCTCTCTGGGTGAAATTGATAACTCAACCATCTGAGTCTGCCAGGCACGCCCTGCTCTATGAAATCTGTGTCAGAGAAGCCCACATCCACACTGAAGGTAGACTGGGATTACTTGTAATGCCTTCTAAAACACCCCTGTTAGGTGAACCAAATTCCATGGACCAAATATGTGGCTACATCAGTTATACGAACTAAGGATCTAGCCCAAAGTTAGGGCTTACTAACAATAAATTAACCTCAGTAATTTATTCTTCTTCCTTCCACCTTACAGTTAGCTTTGAGTTCTTAACCTCTTTCGGACCTCAGTTTATGTTTTCTTTCTTATTCTCTTGAGGGCACAGATATTGGAAAAGCTTTTCACTAGAACTGAGACTCTGTGTGTCTATGTCTAGTACCTTGTCAAAACTGAGCATGTAAATATTTTGCAAGGCATTAGGTTAGTGGTTCTTCCATTAGTGAGCTATACTGTGCTGCTGTTTTCATCCATCCTCTGCTACACCATGAAGATCAGAACGTTAAAAATGAGGAGAACATGAGCAAATTGCCTGCCAAGGCTCACTTTCATTCAGGAGAATGGAAAGGTAAAGGAAAGCCTACACAGAAGAAGTACAAAGACCAACTCCTCCATGCAAAGTGGCACTGGGGATGGAAAACCTCTCTCTCTGGGAGAAACTGGAAAGGCACAAGCAGGTTTCATTGTTTGTGGTGAAGGCAGCAGAGAGAAGCGCTCACTCGCTTCTACATGTCAGGAAGCCTGACAGGTTCTTTTACCCTAAGTACTCTTCATCTCAAACTCTTCATCCTTATGCCCCTCTCTTTCCGCAGGGGATGTGGAAACAGAAGTGATGTACTGTCAAAGAAACGCAGCAACTACAGCGCACTTCCAGACAAGCTTCCAGGGCAAAGTAAAGCATGTACGTCTAATCAGGACATGCATTCTTCTTTTTCAAAGGCATTTAGAGGAATAAAGCTTAAGATCTGATACTAAGCTGTTGCACTGCACTCTCCTTCATTTTATAATGACAGTTTGGCTTACAGGAATTGCGCGTGTGCTAAATACACTCCTGGGTGCAGTGCTCCGAGGCAGTATTGGCTTTCAGTCAGCAATTTTCAAGCTTTGTCCTTTTCGCTGTTGTCAGGATGCTGCAGCACTTGAGGCTTTCCACAGCAGAAAAAGATGATCTTAACAACTACTAATAGTCAGGGAACAGAAAACTGCAATATCCGCTAAGCGGGCGACACTTGCAAAGGGAATACCACCAAGATTTTCAAAGCAATTCTGTCTGGGATACATATCATACCTTTTCTAAAACTAAAGGTAGATCGAATGCGCTCGTAACCATTTTATCAGAAGTTACCAGACTAGTGCTTTATAACATATACTGTTCAGTTCTTCCAATTACAAATTATTTGAGTTGTAACTCTGTTTTTCACAAGTAAATCTGCTAGCAAAGCACCTGAAATTTTAACCTTGATTTGTCTAAGATCTACCTGTAACCTAAAGTCAACGTTCTTAACGTTCTTTTTTTTTTTTTGGACTTAAGAAAGCCTGGAGGCTAAATGCCACCTCCTCTACACACAGAAAACAAAACTCCAAGCAAAACAAGACTGCAGCACAACCTGCACAAGTTCAAGACATGAAGTTTGGCACATGTCATTTTTTCTGGTGATTAATGCCAGGTTTGTTTAAAAACAGAAAGAAATTGAGTCTTAATTAAAGAATTGCTACTTATGAATTGAGACAGAAAATGACCAATAAAAACTTTACATCAGCCACATGAAGAGATTCAGCAAGCACATGTACTCAGCTGGCAACATACATATGAAGTATAGATGTAGCAATATAAGTAACATATAAGTCCTCCTTTTGCTAACCAGAAGTTTGTAAACTAGACATGTCTTTTACTAGAATAGCTAGTAGCAATCTATTACAGAATTTCCAAATTTCCTTTTCCCATCTTTCCTACAAAAAGAATTTATAAAATTAATAACAACTGTTGACTTTAATGCTAAGTTTAGGAGCTGGGGTTGTGGAAGCAGTGCTCACTTCTCTGTGTTGCACATCCAGCCTGAGCTATTTCATCTTCTTCTTCTGGTTCATTATAATAGTCTTTATCAAGTAATTTATAACAGGGAAAACAACAGATGTTAATAGCTTCACACCCTGAACAGGGTCACATAATTTTTTCCTCTTTTAATGTACTGGCTGTTGAATATTTTGTCTGGCAAGAATGTTTCTGGTTTATCCTGAGAACGAAACAAGTTATGGAGCCGCAATCCCATCAAGACTCATTACAGTAAAACCCCTATGCGTGTGTGGCTACCCTAAGCTTCAGATAGAATCACGGTCCCATCAATCAATGTTTCCTCCTTACACACAAAACACAGGGATTTCATGCCCTGAAGAAAATCTTATCCCAGCAAGCTCTCAAACAGAAGTCACCACACGGTGCTTCTCTGACATTTCCCTTCCGCACTCTAGAAAGACTCCTCGCGTTTCTTCCAGCCACTACAGGTAACAAGGGATTCCCATGTGAGGTGTCCATATCTTCTCTCTTCTGCTACTTTTTGTCTTTTCTTTGACTGATGCCCCTGGGCAGCTTCACTCCATACTTCACCCCTGTTCTCCCAACTCACTCTCCACTCCATCCCTCCTTCTCAGGTGCAATATCTGGAAGTATGGGGCAGCAAAGAACTAACGTGCTTAGCAATTAGCAGTTATTCTATATGGGAAGCACTATGAAGAGGTAAAAAAGATGCTTGTAAAGACAAGTGTCTTTAATGCATCTAGGAGAGAAAGGAGATGATCTGCATGACATGGGCCCCAATTCTGCACAACATTTTGGTCCCTTTCCCTAGGGAAGTTCCCATCTCTCCCTCCTGCAGAGCAGTATGAAGCTTAAAATTTTGTGGTTTGTAGCTCCATTAGAAGCTGGACTTGGCTGTACATTGCTGCAGCAGCAGGGGAAGTGCCACATCTGCAAAAGAGGGGTCTCAGACCTGACATGACAGCTGGGAGAGGATTTGGGGAGCTCTCCTGACTTAACTAGATTGTTGTGCACTCAGTGTTAATAAATAAATAAGGAGAAAACCAGCAGCCTGGAGGGGAGAGGTAACTGAAGGATGGGACAGATAAACAACTCATCACTGGGGAAAAAAGAAAGATTAAGATATTTTAAAAAGCAAAGAGGAAGTAAAATTCACAGAAAGTAAGAACAGCTTTAAAAGATCTTTAAAAGCACAAAAATTGCAGTAATGCCTATGGGTTTTCTAGCTTGTTTTTGTTGCTTTTTTCCCCCTTGAAGACCATTAACTTCTTAGAAAATGTCTGTCTAGGCTTATGTAAAAAAACCCAGCCCTTTAACAATATAAATGGGTTCACATTTTACTAAACACATATAGCAAACATCAAAAAATGGCCTGAATATCTAACCAAATGCACAAAGCTGGATCCAATCACCTGTTGTAACAAGCATGTTTTTGGTTCATTCCTACATTGATTCATTTCATTAGTCAAAGAACACCAACCCTTGCTATGAGGCAATGCCTTACCAGTGTAGATGCTGGCATTGGAAGCTGGGATGCCAAACTGTGACTCGATGAACTTGGGAATGAAGGTAATAAAAGCTGTGACAATGGCACTCTCAGCTGTGTATGACAAACTCACAAAAAGGAATGTCATGTTGCTTAAGATCCTGACAGCTGCTCTTGGAAGCTCTATAAAATGACAAAAATGACAAACGAATGTTATAAATAATGAGCGAGAAACAAAAGCAAACTGAAACAAAACAAAGTGATTTTCTTTGAGATGGACTGGCAATAATGACTTGCTAGCATCTGGCTACATTTGCTAGGCAGAAGGGAGAGTGCGTATCTGGGATTGCAGTCTTCGCTGTCTGCTCTTACCCTATCTCACTGCATTGCCCCAGGGCTGCAGTCCCTCTTTTCACAAACACAATTGAGGTCTGTTTTAACAAAACTGTCTGAAGAAACAGGGTCTACATAGTAACACTATAAAGGAAAGAAAAACAGCAATAAAATGTAGCAATTTTGGAATTATTCTGATATTTTATTTTGAGATTTTCTATGAGATAACACACATCACACTGCTGAACTGACAGTACTTAGTTTTGCACTCCACAGGAGGAAAACAGATCACATACTCCCCCTGTAATTCTCTGCTTCAAGGACCATGCTTGGAAAGCTGGGATAATAATACTATAATTTGAAAAGGGAACCAAAAGATTTTTAGTTAAACATTTTTCTACATGATTTAAAAGTACTTACAATAAATGCAGACAAAGTATACTGAAAAAATGTTGCCAACGATATCAGTGAATCTCAACATACCTTATATACAACTCATTTAATATTCTCAGAAGGGATAACACAATCAATTAAAAATGAGAGCACATCATTAACTTAAATTGAAAAAGTATTCACAGATGTTGCAATTATCCTCAAATCAAATACCAAAACCCCTGGAAATTCAGCACTGTAGTTAAAAGAAACACTTAAATACTTTTAATTCAGTCCCGTAGTGATGTCAAATGATCCTCACAAGATGATGGTAACTCTATTCAAGACTTATTTTTTCAGAATAGACGGCATGATTTTAAACTTTTTTTTTTTCTTTGGGGCTTCTATCAAGATCAGATTTTCTGTTCAAATATTATATCTAACCTACAATGGTTTGGGTTTTTTCATTTGCTTTTCACTTTGTACAGAAATTGAACACTGCTTCAATCAAAGCCCATTGAATTCAATGACAAGAGCACCCATTAGTAATACAACGTGTTGAGTAAGAATTTTATTGATGGTAAAAGTTGTCAAGTCAAAAATCTGTCGCATTTTCTCCACTGACTCCAGGAGGTTATCTGTATAAAAGCAAATAGAATTTAGACTCTTGTCATGTCAAAACCTGTCAGGCTGCAAATTAGCACCTGTTGTCTGACTGCATCCAGTCTTAGCTTATGCCAGTCATCAAAATTTATACTGAATTCATTATGAGTACAGGATTTATAATTTTAATGTAGTCAAATGCTTTCTTGCTGCCTCTATGAAGAAACACATTAAATGTTAAATACAAAATTTGGTGGAAATAAGTAATGAATAAATCATATTAAGAAGCACTCATGTATTTGAATCTTAATGTTTTTTACCACCTACAGCTTTTTTTAAAAAAATGTGGCACTGTTTGCAATAAAAGAACAGAAGAAAACAAGGTAACAGGAGTATGAGACAATATAGCATCAACATGAATATATGGAAACTGTAATGCAACTGTACACCTTCAGAACTACATTACAGTAGCAAGTACAAAGATAAAATACTATCAGTATTTAATGGCAAATATGCTGCATGTTTAAAATACAGCTGATCAAAATTTATCTCATTGTTCAAAAGGAAATGAAAGAGAGGGAAAAAAAGAAAGATCTACAATGCCATCAGATGTCAGCCTTCAAACCTCATCAGCTTTGGCTTTGTGTCTCGTTGTGGGTTGGCTTGGGTTGGGTTAGCTGACGGGAGCTTAGGTGCAAAAAGAAACCAAAGGGCAAGAGCCAGGATGCTCTAACCCAGCTTTTGCAAAGCCTCTCATGGGCCTAGATGATGCAGTTTAAGAAAACAGCTGCCACAGGGCTGCAGCAGGGCAGCTGTAGCAGGATTTCCCCAGGGACAAGGTGCAGGATTGAATGCTTCTCCCCCTGCAACAGGAGGAAGCGGTTATGACCGTGCTGCTGCCACTGTGAGAAAGGAGTCAGGAAACAGAAAGAGGGGGTGCCAGGATTGGTCCTGCTGGAAACTGAGCTATTTGGTGGCAGCTGCTCACCTGTGCTGAAAACATGTGGAAGAAAGTAATAAGATAGTAACTTTCAGAAGACTGGACATCACAGAGAGAAATATCATTTTATTAGGATGATGAACTAAGTGCTCTTTGTAGAAATGAACTAGAAGTCCTTGGCCAAGGGCTGAGTCCAAGATCTTTGCTAAATACATTATTTTAAAGGGCCTGGTCCAAATATCATAATACTTGGTAAAGTTTAGCTCTTCCTGGTAAAACTGAGCTTTAGGAAAATGTCTGGTTTAGAATTTTCAACCTAAAGATACTGAAGAACGAATTAGGTAAAGAACTGCAGAGCTAACGAACATTTTGCTCTGGTTTTTGGATATAGAGCTGTACTTTCTGTTGAATCCTATTTGCATCTGATCTGAGCACTCAGTCTAAAGGTCATTAATTTCAAAACTAATTAGTATTTTAAAATTGGATTTCTACTGATAAATAGATAAAATTCAGTGTCTTGGAATAAGCACAAGTTCTCTTACATCACTGTGAAGGATTCCTCAGGGAACAGCTCTGCTGATTACTGTAATTTTTGTCATGAAATAAAACAGAGATTATTCCTGCATGCTAGCAGTTGAGGGTTGAAGCTCTTTGTGATTTATAAGGAGCAACTGTCTGGCAGACAAGGAAAAGCTGCTATACAGTAAGAAATTTGCAAATAAAAATACATAGTCAGAATTAGGTTTTGCCTTATTTCCTCCTATGATTATAGTCAAATCCTGTGTGACAGAATCTGTATTACACTTCTGTATTTAAAAACCTATAATAAAAAGGCACTATTTCTCATCTCTTTCAACCACACTAATTCTAGTGAAAAGCAAGAATGATAAAAACTTTAAGGATCCTTTGTACTACATAATCAATCATGCATTTAAAACATTTCAACGTCATATTATTTTTGTGTGTCTAGCCACAGGCCTAGGCTTTGATTTCAAGGCCATTATTAAACCTGTCAGGTTCCAATTTTCAGGAGGTCTTCAAAAAACATCTCTTGTGTTTCCAGGTGTGCATCAGAAACAAACCTATGAGAACCTGCAGTTTCCCTCATTCTGTCATTTGAACAAATAAAAGTCTATCGATGACACTCCTAAAACTGAAATGATCTTTTAGTATGGCTGCAAACATGTTTACACTTCTGTGCAGTAATTCAAATCTTAAACATCCTTATCTTCTTTCTTCTTTTTTTTTTTTTTTTTTTTAATAATCTAATATGTAACTAAAAGTAAATTGAAACCTGCCTTGCTGGACTGGTTTGCTAGTCTACTGGCAATTTTCTTCCCTTCATGGTCTTTGGCTATATTTTTTCTGTAGTCAGTATTCATTTTCTTTCACTCGTGTGCTGGACCACTGTTTGATTCATGGTAAGAAAAAAGCGTAAGAAAAATCTGCAAGCAATACAAATATTCGTAAATACTGCTAGAAGCAAAACTCTTAAAGCACTAAAACCAGAACTTTAATAAAAATTCAAATAATTCTGACTTCACAACCTTTTTCACCATTTAATATATTTTCTTTTACCCCTGTTCCTGTACACCTAGCCCAAGGCGATTCAATGAATATAAATGGGGAATAAACCATCCCAGTCTACAGCACTGTCCTCTTCTGGTCCATCAACAAAGCCCCTTGTAAGGGTGATGCAGATATTAGCTAAAGGACCTCATTTCTGCTGGTGCTCCAAGCCTGGACAACACTATCCAAGTCTGCAGCTTTGAAGGAGGCTGCCTCCACACTGAGGTCTCAGGGGCAGCTTCTGCTCTTGCACAGTACAAAGCAGACCCAAGATTTGAGAGAGAATTTCTGGATTGTTTATCAGAATGGAAATGAGCATCTTCAGTCACACACAACTACTTCAAATATATTCTGCATGGAGCTAATCATTAAATTTTAGAATAATATTTTGCCATGTATTTCACTTCATTATCTACTCACATACCATTTAAACAACCTCATTCAACTCAGTTCCTCAAGCACTTTCAGGACATGCCGTCAGTAACTGGGTGGTGGCCAGATCACTGAACAGCCCCTAATATCCCATCAAGAGTAGGAAGGTTCAGAGTGAGTTTGATCTGATTATTACTTTTATTAACTTGATTTAGAGCAGCTCCTCAAGGCTCCAGCTATCACTGCTCATCACTGCACGGGGCCATGCCAACCTTTTCTATTTCAAGCTCTTCAAGATGGCCTAAGAAAGGACAAGGGGGGAGCAACTCGCTCAAGGTCAGTGGCACAGCAGGATCTCCAGCCCACAGTCTGCTGAACTCTCTGACATTTATAGCACTCACTAAGCACCCCCACACACAGACCACAGTCTCCTCCTCCTCCTCTTCTGATCCCTGCCAACTAATCTTCGGGTACTGCAGAAACTCCAGTCCGGATCCTTGGGAAGCACTGCAGTGGCCTTACCCTACAGCCACAAGGCCCTCAGGAGTTTCTTTTACCTTTGCTGATGCCCTGACAAGCATCATTATCCTCTCTCTGTCCCTGGCTATGACTGACTGGGAAGGGCATACAACAGCTGGTAGACATGAAAAGGCAGACAGGAATATTCCACATTTAAGAAAGGGCTGTACATAGGGACAAAACTCAAAATGTTAAAAAAAATCCCAAAGACTACAAAATACGTGTAATTAATTAACACCCCTCAGATTAGATCAGTACATTTTAGGTAATATATACATTTGCTTTCTTTACACTGCTCCTTTATTCAATTGCACAGTAAGTTTCATTATAGTGATAAGTAAAAGGGACTGCAGATACAATTTCCATGGTACAAACCCCTAAGGGTATCCACGTAATAAATGAAAACAGTGGTTTTTCCTGCTCAGGCTCATGATTTATCTGCTTGCATGGGATTGAACTGTGGCTTCCTCATTATAAATCTCCTCTAGCTCATGTTGTCTACACTACCTCTATTTCTCCCAATAAACTACATCCAATTTTCTTCCTCCTGTCACCTATTTAATGTTTTATTTAATACTTTTGATACCTGCTTCAGAAGCATTCTCCTCATGTTTTTTACTGGCAACATAAATAAGAAAAGGCTGAATTCCAAGCCCTTGCATCTCAAAACATGAGAAAAACCAAAGATGTATCTGTATTTTTACCTGATCTCACTTCTACTGTGGGCCAAAATAAAGCTCAGGTCACTGAAGTTGGAGGTTACTTGCAGATGGAGCCAGTTTGGGTTTATTTCTTCAGCCTATACTAACAGCCATTGCAGGAAAAAGGACCCCGACCCCCTCCCATCATGCCTTTTTGATTCCTTTTCATTCATTTAGAGAACTAACTAATGTGAAATTAGGACAAGTTACAGCAGGACAAGAACCATTTTGCCAGCTTCCCAGGTAGGACAACATCATATCAGAAGATCAAAACAAACAGTTTCTTTCCTGAGACTTTCCTTACCTAAGCTGCACGGATTTTACAGACTTAATGGCACTGACCTCTGTCATGGCAGACTACAACATCACTGATATTTATTAGTACAGAACAGAAGACGTGACCTACTAAAATCATCAGTCTTCCAGCTACTGCCTAAGCAGAGTTTCTGCCCATCATGCTATAAAAAGATGAAGCCCTGAAATTCAATGAGAAGTATAAAATGTACATTGCATCTCAGAAGAAGCAATGCTAAATGACTTACACACATGCAGTCCTTTTTTCCTTCCCATCATAAACAAAATTACCTCAACTGAGAAGCTTGAGGCATGATCTCATTCCATAAAGCCCACTTAAACTTGAAAAATAATTAAATGATGGCGCATTCCTGCTGCAGGCCCTCTTTGCTAGGGTAAATGACACCTAATGGGAAAGCTATTATCAGCTTATAGCAAAATACTTTTCTCTATGTTATCTTGACTCGCTTGGTATCTTTCTGACATGTGGAATACAATGCTGCTTCTCATTGTTCCACGTGGTGAAGTTTCTTCTCCAGAGAAAATGAAGCTTTGTATATGAAAAGCTCTACTTCTGTAGCTCCATTAGTACATTAATGTAGGATTTCATAGAAGGTATGGTACACATTTAGGCAAATACATGTCAAAGAAACACATACTAAAATGAGATATACAGAAGTTTTCACTTCTGTGAAAAAAGTACTAGGAAACATTCTCCTAGGAGAATACTTGTTTTCTGTGTATCTGTGCCTGTAGTGACATCACACGACCTGAAGGTAAAATTATGTACAGAAACAGAGAACCAACATCAGCAGACTCATCCAGACACAGAGTTTGTCTGAATACCTGTATCTCTTCCAGGCACACCTACAGGATGAAGCAGTCGCTCTGCTGTGACATTGCCTGCAATGATTAGGAAGGAGCCCAGCAAAGACTGAACTCCCTTTTCCCACCTCCCTAAGTTAGTAAGAAAACCTTGACAGGAGTAGCCCTGAACTACTTTTGCTAATCAGAGGTAGGTAGGTACCTAATCGGTAGGTTTGAAGGCCAAAAAACCCCACAACTAGCTTTATGGATTTAGAAGAAAACATTATGTATGGGGACTCATAAATATGGGGAATAGAGAGTCTTCAAAGAAGGAAGTAGACAACATGCTTTTCTTGCTTCTCCAACACTTTTTTAGCTACTTTGCAAACAAAGGGAGAACATGGTTCTGAAAGATCTGATATTGCAGGTTTACCTTGCTTGCTCTGTGCCTTGATTAAGATGCTGTTTTGTAAGCTAATAAAATCACCACAAGCAAATTCTGCTCTCCTGTTTTTTTCTTTACTTCCATAGAAATTAACAGTAACCTTAGATATCCTGAGAGTACAGATGCAAATTCAATGTAGAGCAAATCAATATGCATGTGGGCAAACATTACTTAGAATTACACTGGTTTTAGTCTAAAATCAGCACACTGGTTTTGCTAAGCCTTGCGTACTCAATATAAAGAGTGATCATAAATGTGTCATTAAAAAATCTGCCATTCACTATAACTTGGACTGATACTCAATGAAAAAGTAACACTAATGTTCATGTCAACAAACAAACGAAGTTTTGAGTTCAAATTACATCTAATGGTACAAATGACATTTCATGGTTTCTCCTAGCCCCACTGCATTCATCAGGCTACCACAAAATGGCACAACCAGAATTGGTATCATGGAATCCAAGGAGGACACGACAGCATTGACAACACAATGGCATTAAGGCACATTCATTCTTGTCCTATACCATTCAATATTATGACACTGTTAAACCTATATTGTCAACTCCAAATGTATATGCTTCACATTAATTAATTTTTAACAACACTGCCCTTCTTCCCATGGCATTTTACCAATGATTACTACTTACTGTTAGATTTCACATTAATGGTTTGCTTCTTGAATAAAATAAAAAACTCTATTACTTGTCAATCTTTTGATCTCTTCGTGTTTCAAAATTAACACAGGTTTCATTCGTCCTAGCCTTCTGGAAATAAATAGCTTGCAGTACAAAATAGTCAGGAAAGGCATATGAAACAAATAATCTTTCTCAATTAACTTACCCAAATGCATGAATGTAATTGAACTCATATACTAGAATTCTTTTTACTTGTTTCACTTGTATTTTAGAAGAGCACTTTATTCTATGAAGGACGGCTTACAGCAAGTAGGACAGTTACAAACTGTAAGGTGACAAATACGTCTGGTAATAGAGGTCCTATAACTATAAGAAACTGGCTACCTGCTTGTTACAGGTGCATATTAAACACTTCAATAATTCGAGTAAACGGATGTCTTGCACTCATCACTGCATTTTGTAATTTTACAGGATGACCATCTATTATAATCTCAATAGCAAAACGTAGTATTAAATACAGGATGTCAGAACTCTGCCTTCAATTACACTCATACAATCCTAGATGATCTTGTATACAAAATTTAAAGCATTTAAAAATTAAAAACAAACTTCACCTTTAACATTCTTTCCAAATCCCATAGAGGCAGGAACTGCACTGTCTGCTTGTATTTTACTATTTGTTTTCTCTTTCATCACCTCATCATCACTTGAAACATCATCAGAGTTCATCTTCTTTTTCTTTTTCTTTTTTTTATGTCGAGGAGGAAGCTTTTTCGGAAAGGTAAACATGGGAAATATCACAAGGAGCATTGCAATGGCACAAAGGAGAAATCCACTCCACCTAATGCCAGAAGACAGGAACAGAAATGAAAGCCAATGCATTACACGAAATAAAAACCCCAAAATTATTATTACAGGCTGTGCTGGCTGGAAAGACATATTTGCAAAATATGGAACATCAACATTAAGAGTAAAGGACTGAAGTGGGGGAGAGCCTTCACTGCACTAAACCCCTTAATTAGAAGATGTTTCTGTTGGCTTGTCTACTGATAAAGGTATTTATCCAGAACCACCAAATATTATGAAATAGTGTCAGCTTTGAGTTCTCGTAAATTTTCACTTTTGGTAATTACTCAGTACTAAGTGCTGAGAAGTAGATACTTGCTTTTACTTTGCCTTTCTTGCATAATCCCAGTAAAGCAATACAGTGTTCCTCTGGAGAACATGAAAAAAGTTATCCAAGGCATGAGAAGATAAAATGTCCAGATGGATACATCAGGGCTAAATCTGTTCTGCTTTCCAGTGCCTACCTCTCACTGCCCTGACTGTCCAATTCTCTCTCTTCCCAATGAAGAGCTTCCAAAACCTGACTGTAAACAACTGATGTGTTGCAGTTCATGCCAGGGTTTATGCCTAAAACACTGCAGCTCTGTTCTGTGACCACAACCTGAAATATCCCTTCACAAAGAATTTCCTCTGTCTTATAAGAACAGGGTATAAACAATGCTGCAATGACCCCTTGGCTCGCACGGAATGACTTGGGACATACCCAGAGAAGAGGCAATGTATGGGATGCCAGGAAAGCGCCCTTTAGACTGCAGGCATACAGTTATCCTCCTTCAGGCCAAGAAGCTTAATGAACTTTACCACAGCAACACAGAGGGGCAAAAGGGCCTTACTAGAAAATACTCTAGAGTTAACCTTCTGCAGTCAGAAGGCTGATAGTAGAGTATCAGATAACATAATTTCTCCTCTAAGTCCATCTTGCAATCAAAGACTACAGGGAAACATGGATAAACTCACAGAGATGCTTCCATAAAGGACAACCTCAGAATTCACCCACAGAGTTCCTCCCACGTACTGAAAGTGCAATTCTCACGATGTACTAATCTAATTGTACTGGGTTTATGTGGCAAGGTTTTGGTAGCAGGGTGGGGGCTGCAGGGGTGCTTCTGTGAGAAGACACCATGAGCTGCCCCCACGTCGGACAGAGCCAGCTCCAGCCAGCTCCAAAACAGATCTACCACTGCCCAAAGCGGAGCCCATCAGCAATGCTGGCGACACCTGTGGTAACTTATTTAGGAAAGGGTAAAAAACGTTGCAGAGCAGCTGCGTGAGGGGAGTGACAAAATGCGACAGAACCAGCCCTGCAGACACCAAGGTGAAAGAAGGAGGGGGAGGAGGTGCTCCAGGTGCCAGAGCAGAGATTCCCCTGCAGCCCGTGGTGAAGACCATGGTGAGGCAGGCTGTCCCCCCACAGCCCAGGGAGGTCCACGGTGGAGCAGATATCCACCTGCAGCCCGGGGAGGACCCCACGCCGGAGCAGGTGGATGTGCCTGAACGAGTCTGTGACCCTGTGGGAAGCCCACGCCGGAGAAGGCTTCTGGCAGGGCCTGTGGACCCATGGAGAGAGGAGCCCACACTGGAGCAGGTTTTCTGGCAGGACTTGTGACCCCGCGGGGGACCCATGCTGGAGCAGTGTGTGAAAGACTGTCTCACATGGGAGGGATCCCACGCTGAAGCAGGGGAAGAGTGTGAGGAGGAAGGATCGGCAGAGACGAAGTGTTATGAGCTGACCGCAATCCCCATTGCCCGTCCCCCTGCACCGCTCAGGGCGGAGGAGTTAGAAGAGTCATGAGTGCAGCTGAGCCTTGGAAGAAGGGAAAGGTGGGCAGAAAGTGTTTGTGGTTTTGTTTTTAATTCTTACTCTGTTATTAATTGGCAATAAATTAAATTAATTTCCCTAAGTCAAGTCTGTTTGGCGCATGATGGTAATTGGTGAGTGTTCTCCCTGTCCTTATCTTGACCCACAAGCTTTTCATCATATTTTCTCCCCCTGTCCTGCTGAGGAGGCAGAGTGATAGAGCGGCTTTGGTGGGCGCCTGGCAGCCAGCCAAAGTCAATCCACCACACTAATCTACACTAGCGTTTGGAAGTTTCAGTGAAGTTAATCATGGTACTGTGATACCAAATCATAATGATAAATGACTGAAGTTCTTTGCTTTCAAATCACAGTTTACAGAACAATTTTTACATTTTGTGTACATCCTTTACACTTAGAAAAGGAAGCTACAACAGGAAACTACTAATTATATATTTGTTCAAACTTTAAACATTTAGAAGTATTGAGTAGACAGGACTATTTACACAAGAAACAAAACATTTGGCCTCATATTTGTAATGCAAACATATTGCAAATTTTTAAATGAAGACAAATTCATATGCATGTGTAATGGTTTGTGTGGTAAATGGTTATGCAAAGGCAAACACCAAACAAACAGCCATGTGTAACACCATTTTTGTTAGAAAGATTGTGGAGGAAGCTTTCGTGAGGCAAATCTAAGTAACTGAAAGTTTTGACTAGTTTTGGTATTATGTAAACAGCAAATCCTCTATTCATTCATTTTAGCTGATAACATGCATGGATTAGAAACCAGACTTTTAGGAGGATTAGTCAGCACTATCAGGCAGGGAATAAATCGGTAGACTGTATAAAAATGTAGTAAAATCCCTTTCAGGATCTTAAAAGCAGAAGGTGAAAAGGCACTGATCAAAGAAACAATCTGTGGCAAAAATACACAGAAATCTGAAACGATCCACTCAGTGGGAAACAGCAAAGGAGACAGGGCCTGTGCTGTAGCACAAGATGAAATTCAAATTCAAAAGGACCATTATGGCAGCATACCAAGTGCTGGAGATGTCACAAATGCAGCACTGGATGCAATTATCTGCACTGTCTACACTTCACATGTTCCTGCAGAAATATTAAAGAACTGGAAAACAGAAAAAAGACAATATCAAAAATAATAAGGACACCTACAATGGGAAATGAAAGGTCAGAACAGGATCTGTATTAATTAAAAAGCCCTTATTTTCCGTCTTCTAAAGTCAAAGAAAATATGCAAGAGAATACCTCAAAGGCATCTGCACAAGCCCTAGGAACTCAAATAAAAGCAATTAAAGCTAAGGAAGGACCAGACACTGCTGGAGGAATTCCTTTAAACTTCCTGTGTCAAATGCTGATGAAAGACTATATGGGAAGATCCAAGCATTAAACAGAATCAGAACTAGGCAAACACTCAGAAAAGTGTCAGCAAAAGAAAATTTGATTCAAAGCACCTGACAGACTGCCAAGGGCTATTCTACAACTAATGAGATCCCTACATAGCACATTAACAGTTCTTGAAGACAACAACATGATAGATGATTTCTAACATATCCCTACAGTTACAACATTTGAATAAAAAGCAGTTTTAAACATTTGATGGGCTGGCATAGACAGCTGGCCTGTAATTCAGCCCAGAGCACCTACAGAAAGCCCAGGTGTGCAAAATCCAGGAGGGCAAACCCAGTTCTGTGAAACTCATGGAAGAATGAGATCAGAAATAACCCTGAGAAATAACCGCTTACTTTGTTTATCAGGTTTCACAAGAGAGAAACCAAGTTACCTGTCCTGCATATATGCAATATATGTCTCAGAAAGGAACAGCTTAAGTAAAAAATAGGCTTTACTGCAATTTTTATTGTCATATATCATAGCTGCTGTACTCACTCTTTTGTCTGTAATCATTACCTCCTTTAATAATGGAATTTTTTCACAGGATCTCTGTGTTAAGTTAGAAACCTTACAGCTATAATAAAGGAAAGATGGGAATCAAAGACACTAATTTACTTCAAAGGAGACAAGGCTGAGAAATCTCAAATATGACTGCCCATTAACTTATCTCAACTGCACCCTACTTTTAAAAAGTGTGTCAGCTGAAGTAAGTGCTAGACTACTCTCATATTTCAAATTGTTAGATTACATAAATAAAAATAAACTTGGCTACGCAGCACTTCCCTGCAAGGAGAAAATGTCACGGTCCCAGAAAATAGATTTCATTGGAATGTAAGTCTACACTTTCAGAGCTCTCTGCAACTGGGCAGTCAGTGAGTAGCAAGGGACAAAGGACCAATCCTCACAATGTGAGAGTCTTCATTTTAGTGGGTAGATAGCTTCAGACAGAGAAAAGAGAATGAGACACAGATGGTATGAACACCATCAAACTTTTATGAGAGGCCACCACAGATTGTGAAACAAATTACCAGAGAACAGATAGCAGGGTAATTTTCTCTTCAGAAATTAAAGAGAGAAAAAACTGACAGCGCCAAAAATGAAAGAGTAAAACAAGGACCTGGAACACCCTTCAGGGAAAGCCAGTTTCTACAGATTTAATCAACATGGCGGAAGAAGGAAACTCTGAATGACTTTTCCTTTTCTATGCTGGCTGGAATACGACTTTCCTGCTGAGATCCTACAACAGCTGATTTCCTGCCCTTGCTTCAGTCATATATGCATCACTTCTGCTGGCATCCCTGTGCAAAACTGAAATCACCAAGATACTTTGTTCAGGTAGACATTAAACACTGGAGATATATAAAATGCATTTAGCAATTTGACATGAAATTTTCTGAATGCCCAACTAGGCTCTTTTCCTGATTTTGCTTGCAAGGCCTGGTACAATAGATGTTCTCAAAGCCTGCCCACAGAAATGGCTGTAATAGGTGACTTCTCACCACTTTTGCCATGGAGCTCAGGGATTACAGCATTCCCATAGGACGTCAGGGATCCATCCCTGGCACTGGGCATCCATCCCTGCCACTCACTCTTTTGAGGGAGGGTAGTTAAACTTGTAATTCACGAGCAAGGACAGGCATTTTTTTGCCTGATCTCTCTCATACATTTGGCTATGACAACATTGCACATATATCCAAGCTAGCTTTAAACATGCCGTAGCAGCCATCCATCTGCTGTGGCATAGACCCTGGTGCAAATGGCCCAAGAAGTGGCAAACTGATGTGTCTGTGCTGCTTTGGTTATTTTACCTTCACCCAAGCTGTTTTAAGTTAAAACTCACACAGGTATGCCCACATCATAAGGCAGTTGTATCAGTGGCTGCATTACAGATAAAATCAAAAGCTTACCCCTCACTCATATAGCCCCACTGATTTCAATTAACAAATATATTTATGGGTCTGCTCATGATTTCTGTTGAGAAGTACGGATCAGGTGCTGATTACCAGTTCTGACATGTCCTTAAAAACACATGAAACATAAGAGTTTTATAAAGAATGTATAATATTTGGCTTTCATTTCAAATCTTTTATTCAAGAATACTCAAAGCACATTTTTGACACTGCGGCACATTCACAGGACAAACCTTTTCTGTGAGATAAGTCAGTATATACATGAGAGCACAGAGTCGTTAACCCCAAGGTCACAGGTTAACTGAGCACTCAGGTTTGCCTTTCTCCCACTGAAAATTTGGCTAGACAGTCCTGTGCAGCAATGCTCTTGGACTAAGACAAATAAAGCAGTGATAAATCTCCAAAGGTTTAAGAACATTCCAAAGAGAGAATTTTTCACATCAAACTGTCAGGAGAGATCACTGCAGGATAAATTGAAATGGATACGATCTGACTGCAATGGCACAGTGACAAACACTAATCCAGTGCATGAGAACTGACACTGCACCCTACACTTACGAAGTAGAGGTCTCCTCCTGGGATAATGAACTTAAGTCTTTTCTGCACTTGCACAAAAATTTCAAGGCAGATTTATGAATTATCTGAGAAAAGCCAGTTGAAGACTCCTCAAGACCTGCTTCCTCAAAGAGGTATTTTCCAAGGAGGTCACATACCAAAGGCTGCCCAAAGACATCAGCTAATGATTATGGCCATTACATCTCAGTGCTGCTGGAAGCCTACTATTTACTAGAGAGTACTGGGATGGTTTGCATCATCTGCTGCCTAAACATGAGCCATCACCCTGAGAAACAAGACTGGGAAGGCCATGTTCTGACCCCATTCAATCTCCTTCTCCTAGACCAGCGTAAATGAAGTCTACCATTTCTCATCCGGGCAGCAGAGCTCAGCGTTTCTTGCTTCCTGCTTTGGAAGACCAAAGAAAGGATGAATCCACCTTCCAGCAGGAAGGTCTTGGCCCTGGGCAACAGTGATCCTTGACGGTCTCCTGCAACATGGATATTCTGTCCTGCCAACCCTGTGCTGAGGACTGTCAGTCAGTGCCCACAGTGGTCAGAGCCAGTCCTGGAGCAGCCAAAAGCAGAAGGTTTTCCATGCAATGTGCCCATGCACTTCTGCAGAAGTGTTCCCTCTCTGTCACAGGCTAGTGTGTAGTAATCGACAGAAACTTCCTCTTCCTTGGCCTCCTGCTACAACCTTCAACTAGCCCTCAAGGGATATGATTGCCCAACCTGTCTCAATTCCTTACCAGCAATTTAGAGAGTAGTTTTGAAAAATGGTTGACGCTTACCAGTTTCCAATGAATCGGGGATCACTCTGGTCAATATAAACAGTTGTCCTAGGATCAACATAGAAACCAATAAGAAGTCCTCCTAGTAAGTATCCAGCTGCAGGACCAAGTGCTCCCATTACATACATGATGGCTGAGGAAATAAAAGGTCAGAGTTGTACATCAACAAAATAATGTTTTGTTAGTTATTTACACATAAAATCCAAAAGTAAAAGATGCCTCTTAAAGCAGGAAGTTTCATACCCCAGAACCTTTAGAGCCCTTTTTTGCAACCTTCAAAGGCAGCAACTTCTGCATAAGTAACATATTGATAAGAAAATTGCTGTTTTCTGTATGTTTTCAGTCAAATCATGGATGGAAGTATATATTACTTTGGTATTTTGGACGGAAACCATACTTGACTTTGACAATATTTTTCATATTTGGTAACACTTCCTTTGAATCAAAACAAAATTTAATACATAAATAGAAAAAATATAATTAATGGTAAGCAAACAGAAAAGCAGAGGATAAGAATTGTGTTAAGACACCAAAGAACAAAGTACAACATTCCAGCTTAGTTACCATCAGACTAATACCAGATTTAAAAGAACCATCAAAGTTAAGAAATCAAATATTCCTATTCTAGAGATTGACAGAATTATGCTTTTTCTGTGTAGCCATGGACTTGCCCCTGTTTTACATACTGATACCAGCAGACCATATATACTGTATTTCCTGTGAGACTCCTGCCTTGTTCAAAACATTTGATCTTTAAATTTAAAATTTTAATGCTATTTTAAAAGAAATTTCCCCATTTAAAAAGTTATTAAAATGAAAATAAGTTTCTCATGTGCAACCAAAGACACACATTTTACAACATCATCACTGAACGTTAGATGATAGCAAAATCCTTATCATTTGGAATAACAGAGTAGGAGATACCAATACAAGGCTCTTATCTGCTGTGTCTTCTACAAGATGCTCTTCAGAGTGCAGTCTCCAGTCCTGGTCCTTCAGCCATCCATACCAGGGTATGTGTGAGAAAACACCACAGCTCCCTCTAGTCTCATTTCCAGGTTTTGAAAGGTGGATAATTTAAAGCTGTCATTTGTCTTGCCCTTAAATCTTGGCAATTCCACTCCTTTCCTTTTCTACTTCTGCAAATCCCAAATCAATTTTTGAACTAAGCCAAGGTCAGTTATCACAACCTTAAATTCAGACGCCTTTTACAAGATCCGTATGAAGTTAACCCCACCATCAAGACCATAGCTATCTTCCAAAGATTTTTCTCTTATTCCCCTACTCCATCTCTTTCCTTCCTTAATGTATCCTGCAGTATTCATCGCTTCTAAGATGCTTCTGCCCTGCTTCCCATACTGTCTGGCTGCGACGAAAGGCAAGGGAGGTTGTAAGGTCTCTGCTATCCACTCACATGTCTGGTACCACCGAAACCCAAGCTCCAGCAGCACAACACTTGCTCAGCTGCTGCAGACCCACTATCTAGCACATGAAAAAAACAATTTATTATCTAATTCTCTGAAAACATCATATTCACGGCAAAATCTCTATCTCCACATGGTTTCTGTGGACCAGTCTCTCTCCCTGGTGGTATGCAGACTCCATCCTTTCTGGTCCCATCCTCAGTCAGGGAACCCTGCTGCATCCTAGACTGCAGCAGCTGAGGAAGCATAACTGAGTTGTTAGAGCTTGGGTTTCTGTGTTACCAGTTATAGTAAACTATATCTCATGGACAACATAAGCAAAAAGAAATCACTAAATCTGCCTGATTAAACCAAAATAACTTGTACATTTCATCTTATGTTTTGAAAGAAGAGAAAGAAGAAAGAGAACATTCTCAGGACTAAAAAGGGACTGCTATCTGAGAGCTCTATTCCAGGGGAAAAAAAAATCACAGAAGCTACCACAAAAGGTAAACTGCCTATAGTAAAAAATGCTTCCAGACTACAAATTGATTAAACAGATATATCACTTTTCTCTTTCTTAAAACATTTTCAGTTTTTATTAATCTGCAATTTCAAATAATTAGATTTTGCTGAAGTCCTTTTTGCATAATGGTTTCCGGAACTGTGTTCACTATTTAAATTTATTCCAGCCATGTTCCCTTCTGGATTGATTGTAAACAATTCTCTCTATGCTTAAAATGCTCCATTAGACATTGTTACACCGCTCCTTAGCAGTTAAGTGGTTAGATAAACCCCACAGTAACTGTTATTTGCAAAATCCACATCATGAGGAGGGAAAAAAAAACAAACTCCATCCACTATAATAAATTTTGTCCCATAAATGTTTGCTTGGAAAATTGATTCACACAACTACAGCAAACTCAGGTCTCTAAAAAGTTTACATAGGAAACACAAAGGGAGTAAAAGAGTGACCTAATCCATTCATTTCAGTATTCAGAAAAAATACTTATGCTGTATTTATTCAGCTTCAATTCCACCACTGAAACAGGCAAAATGCAGCCACTGCTTAGGCTTAGAAGCACTACCCAGATCGTGATTTTGTACACCTGGTAATTTCAGAGGTTTTTCTTCATCAGCAGAAATACTGTACAGTAAAGATAAAAATAACAGTGTACGCTGCTGCTCCGTTAGAGGAGGGAATGCTGTCAATCATTTCAGAAGTATTTTAAAACTACTGTATGCTGTTCAGGCTTTGAGATTTTTTTTTAATATAACTTACAGGTAACATGTAACTTTCTGGATCTTTCAGAAAACAGAGAGCCCCCATGTGCCTGGTCCAGGGCAGGAGGAAACCAGTCAGCACATGAGTTCCACGATTGCCATTTTAAGACACTTTGCAGAATCTTCCTCAGCACCTAGTAATGGCCACTATCAGAAACCGAACACTAAGTGCAATAAACTCATTTGGACTTCTAAATAGGACTAAAGATAGAACATGCCAAGTAAAAGATTTTGATATAAAGTACTTGAAAAAAATCTGCCCCAAACCTCCAAACCTTGCTGTGGAAGTGAAGGGAGAGCCACCTCCAAGCATCACCCTGGCAGGCTGCTCCAGGGTCCTGGACCATTGAAATTCTGGTCACAGCCCTCACAGCTATGCACCCCAATGTCCAGGAATAAAGAGGTTCCTGATTCCCAAACAGGCCACCAAGATTACTGGATGATATGGAAAGGAAACTTAACTGGAAACAGATTCAATCAGGACATCATCAAAACTGAACCCACTTCACAAATAAAAAATTCTGTGGAGAACTGTTCCACAATTTTTTCCACTCAGGTCACTAGAAGGACTCCAGCTTCTGGATGAAAAAGGTTCTGAAACATCTAGATGATGTAGGAACACCTTCCTTTCAGCCTCCTACCTGGCATTTCAGCTAGCTCTTTTTGGTCCTCCCTCTTAGAACCATGATCTGGGATCTTGATCTAGGGACTTGCACTGATTCAACAAGTGAGAAGTTTCAACAACAGAATTAACAAACATTTCTATCAGGAGACATGCTGGAGTACTGTGATGCAGAGGCAGGCCACATGGTATTCAGATGATTTTTTAAACTGCACTTAAGGAAATCCAGGATTTGTCTTTTAACCTCCCCGCCATTACCTTGACTGGTGCTTAGATTTCCAAGGTGCCTTCAAATTTCTTAAGTCATAAACAACTATGCTATAAAATAGCAGTAATATCTCCTTTCCTGTGGTAAAATAGAGATGATGTACATTCTCCAAGTTATAGCTCTACTCCAAACAATAAATCTTCAAAAGATAAAATGAGGAAACTACTGTTAATATAGACATATGGGCTACAACATTCATCTGATTGTCTTCTGATTGGTTTTCATTGAAATGAAAACTTGTACCTCTCAGAATTACTGCATTAGCCATGCATGTTCAATGCTGGCAAGTCACGGAGTACACTCCTCTGGAAACGTGGGTCTCTCCAGGAAAAAGCATCTGCAGGTCACCCTCTCCTAGCTGAATTAGAGCCATCTGAGAACTGCTCATGACATTCAACAAGCAGCTCAGACTGGACCTTGCAAGTTTTCCCCAGAAGCCTGTCATAGCTTGCTGCAGCTGTGATGTAGGATCTTAAGTCTTCAAACCAAAGCACAGGTTAGTCTACTAAAATGACATGGTATTTAAACAAGACAATTTCAAAGTCCAAAGACCTTGCAGATTTTTTAAAGTTTCCCTTTCCTCTGAAGAACTCAGTGCTGTGAGGAGGAGTTTGCATTAGCAAGCACACTCTTCTGCTGGGTGCACCTTCTTTTCAGTGACAAGGGATAGCCCTTCCCAGCCCTCCCGAACCTGGTCTTTCAGATCATAGTTCTACCTCTGACATAGACTGTAAGTAAGTAAAAATATCCTGGTTCAGACGCAGTTTGTTAAGTGCCCATTTGCTCCCATGATATCCAGCTGTGATTATTTTAATTCCTTTGAAGTTTTGTACCTGAGGAGCTTCTCTGCCTCACAGAGTATGCCCTCAGTGTGGCATATTACCTCAGGCACAACACCATACTAGCAAGGCTGTCTAGTTTCAAAACTGCAGCTGGCTATGGTTAGCCAAGCTTAGCCACAAGCGTCCACCACAGCGAAGATGTTGGATGGGAGAGAGAAAGGGAATCAAAGCAACAGTAATTGAGTTACACATGGAATTTACCTACCAAAGCAAAATAAGATTAAGCAATGTCATTCTCCTCCACTGAAAAGTTCATCCTGGGACACGTTGCAATGAATGCTGCCATTTTGACAGCATTTGATAATATTTTCTATTGCTTCTATTCATAAGAGATTCTTCTTCAACAGAAGAAAGCTTTACACAGAGCCTATTGCAGCAAAGACTGTATGACTACAATAAAACAGGCTGAATCCTCTATGGGTCCCAAAATCCCTGTGTTCACATCACATGCATGAAATAACTTTGTTGCCAAAGATTTTATTTTTTGCAATCTACCCACACTATAAAAATATACTGAGACAGAGGTCATAAAAATACTCTGAATGTCCTTTTCCTCCTCTAATCACACCAAATGACAACTTCCATACATTTTGCATATGGAAATATGTAATATATGTCCCTATGGCATCCTCAAATGCATACAATGTTAACCCTCCAACTGTGCCTTTTTATATTAGTAGTGCTAGTACCAATTAAAGTCACAAGCATCATATT